TGAGTGGCAGGCAGGCGTAGAAAGGATAATGCGCGGCATGCGGAACGCATAACCGGCAAATTCCATTAAGTGGCAAAACACAAGTCAAGAGTCGAGTCGTGCGGCCTTCTTCTGACGAATTAAAATGATATGAGCAAAAAGAAAAAGAAAAAGCGGCAAAAGTGACGGCCGGCCAGAGCTGCCAATATTTGTTGGAATGTTATGGCGAATGCTTTTCTTTCTTTCTTCTTCTTAGATGCTATTTGATGAGGGTACTTATGTGTGGGGATGTGTGTCTGTGGATGTTGTTTTGTGAGTGAAGAAAAATAAAGTTTCAATTTACAAGCAACTGGGTCAGCTTGACTTCGGCCAAAACCAAAATTAGGCGCACTGTCCCGTTCGCTATGCTTTGTGGTAGCATTGTGGGCTCGTAAAGAATTTTAAGACAACATAAACCATATTTTGTGAGTGGCCTTCATAGATTTATGGCATAAATGTAAATCCATCCTTCCTGCCAGCGTTATGCGCCTAAAGCGGAAATGAAGCATTAAGCATGAAAATTGATATGCTTCTCAAGATATGGGTTGATAAATGGTGGCATATTCCAGTAATAAAAATGTTGGGATTGGTTAAGGATGCTGCCCAGTTTTTACAAAATCATTTGCATGGCTGCGCGTTAGATACACAACACTTTTAGAAAGCACACGAATAAAATGCGAATTTGCATTTTAAAGAATAAAACCACAGCGATTACCACATTTAATACCTCTTTACTGATTTAATTATAAGAACGAAACATTTTTTTAAGTTGGGACGTTTCGTAGAAACAAAACCAAAGACATGCTTCGATTTTAAAGAAATATTTTCGCTTTTCTAAACAAAATCAGCGGTGAATCAAGACTATGCCTAAACAATCCTGCGAGCTTTTAGTATGGGTATGGAGCTGGTTCAACCTTTTCAGTTGTACCTCAAAAAATTTAATGGTATTTAAGTGTTTGTGTTTTTCACGTATTTATACATCGTACCTTTGATGCTGACTGAATGCAATAATATGTTAATTAAATAATTATATAAAGTACTAGCTTACATAACTATCTAATCCCAGATGAATCCCTTACCACACATCGTTATGAATTAGGCCAGACTTGACAGACCTGAGTGTGTTACTTTCTTATTTTGTCTTTAAATCAATCTTTTATATATATATTTATATTCAATTTATTTATATTAAAAGTAAACCTTCCTGGCTATTCTTATTTATTTTTGTTACACATTTTCTTTAATAATTGTGTTTAACATAAATTACCTAATTTCACTCGAATGTATTTTATTATTTTTAATTTTATTTTCGATTTGTTTTGAGGCTGTTAATAAAAATGTCCCAAAATCTAACAGTGCCCAAGACCTAGCCAAGACACAATCCGCAGACTCATTCCGCCAATATGAAATCCACATTGTGGATCAATGCACATGGCTAAAAATTTGTCCGAATATTTTTTGTTTACTTACAATTTAAGTTGGGGGCCTGGCATAGCTTCCACAATGTGAGTTCGTTCCAGAGTATAAACCTGGGTTCAAATCACGGCAATACCATCATTGCATAAAGCACGATTAAATTATAAAAACGTTCCTATAAGCTGTAAAAGGTGTCTCATATATAAAAATGTCAAATGGTCGGGTTATGGAAATTCTGCAAGTGCATAACAACAATAAAAAATATTTAAAAATGAAATTTTAATTGAATGAACCAAATTTCAAAATAGCAAAACACTTGTAGAAGGCAATAGCAAAATAGGAGACCCTAATTTTATTCCAGACACACACCAGCAATGCTGCTTAAAAGCTCTCCGCTAACAGAGCTTAAGTGCGCTCTAACAAAATATTTCCGCAACAGCATCCACACAGCTGTTCAACAACAGCCCGTTAACAGACTCCTCTTTGAACAGCGGGAGTGAAAGAAATGGAGCCCCAGTTCAATGGCATTCAAACTCACTTTTCACATTGAACACGAAAAAGACATCTGAACAAATGCATTTGCTTAACCCAATTATTATTTTTTCTCTCTATTGAAGGCACATCGATGTCGTCGATACCAGTACAACATCTGTGCTTGGCAAGGGGCAAACAAAGTCCTAATTATACAAAGAAAATTGCGGCACACAAATGGCAAGTGACGTATCTGCGAACGGAACAACAGGACAAGCCATTGCAAACAGCCCGAAGCTTTATTGTTGTCAACGTTGTTTGGTTCACGAATGCTAACACGCAAATTTATTTGCGGGTGTGGATGTGTGGATGGGTGTAAGCCATTGTGCATGGCTATGCAAATAGACCTGCAAGTGTGGGAAACTCGAACTTGGACGCTGTATGTACTCCAATACATGCATGTACATGCGAGTGAGTGTTTCCTGTTTTGTTGGCAACCAGATAAGCAGAAGTGTAGTTCATTGGCGTTAATAAATTGCTGGAATTGAATTGAATTCCTTCGTTTAGAATACGATAGTCGAAGCTTTGTAAGTATATACTTGTGCACTACAGCAAGTCATTGTTTTAATTGAACAACACATGCCGGCATGACTACAAACGCAATATGATAATAGCATTTACAAATATATAAGGATATTACCCATATTTCTTGTGCCATTAAATTTAATTTATATGCACTGAAAAATTGTGCCACAACTTTGCGGTTGCCGTTGTCAAATAGAGTTTTTTTTTACGTAGACAAATTAAACAATTGTCTGGCACCGCACGGAAAAAAGTCCTGTGGTGTGTGTTAAAAATAAACCACACATCGTTTTCACTGAAGCGTCATCCCGTTAACAGCAATATTGTTTTTATAAAAACAAAAAAAGTCACTCCTTTCAACCACAAAATGTTATTGAACGCTATTCAGGTTTTTGCGCACATTTCGGAATATGTATTTCGTCATGAATTTTTTCGCCAGCTTTTTACGGAAACACTTTACTACGGTTTTCTATCGAATTTATAAATAGGCTAGTATTTAGTATATGGACGCAATATGTCTTAAATTTCCTCAAAGTTTAAAAATGTTCGACGATAAAAATATGCCTCGCCGACCCATGTCGTTAAATGCAAATTTTTTTTAAAGACAGATTGTTCACTATTAATTTAGCTTTAGATTCGCCAGTTCATTACTCCTTTCGCTATAAGAGCATAGTAAACTTTCTTCTCTTTTTGTTCACTAGGCTTTGCTGATAAATTGAATTATATACCATAGTATATATTGGTATGAATAGGGATGAAAGCAGCACTGTAACCACTATGGTCATGTCTATTAAAATCTTAGAGTAAATACAATGTTGATTAAAATTTACAAAAGGGGGCTATATTTTTATAAAGATTTGTGTAAATTCATTTATAAATCGAATGAATTTACAAGAAGACATCCAGCTTAAGGGAGAGTTAAGCACGGCAGCCGTGGCTAGCAAGAAAACGACGAGTTGGATCTCTGAGCCAATGCGTTTATTGTTTATTTAATAAACAACTTTAATTCAACATGTTTATTCACACATTATCATTAAATAATTATATTATTTGAAATAAAACACCACATTTATCTTGCTCAGGAACATCACTATTTCAACTGGAGTCTTTGTGTTTAGTTCGGGTTGTTGATATATTTATCTTATGATGTTTTTATTTTTATGTCCACCCCGCAGTATAGTTTTTCGACAGCACTTACCAAACAAATTTGTTTTACATTTAATGTGGCAGGCATTATGACAAAACAAAACGGGCTGCGAGTTTGTCAGTTTGAAAACAAACAGCACAAAATTGAACTCCCTGTGGCCAAACATGTGCTATAAATTTGGTTACCCCTTTAAACTGCCGAAAAACGAGATTTCAATATTTGCTCGCATTTTTTGTTTTAAGCTGGCAGCGTTTCAGATTTACATGAATTGAATGCATCATTTATTATTCAGAATTGTAAAACTAGTCATATTTGCATTTTACATGCAACCTTGACTTTTCCCTCTCCCCAATAGCAGTAATTTGTTTTCATTCGCTTTTTCATATTTGGACGTATATATCGTTTTATTCAAATAGAAAAGTGTATGGCATAAATGTTTCTACAAAAAAATAATAAAAATGGTTTTCCAATTACTTAAATATATTATTTTCGAATTATAATTAGAATGTCAAAGCCAAATATTACGACAAAAGAAAATTACAAATTTATCGAAGCTTGTACACGAAAGGGAATGCTGTGAACCAAACGACAAAGTCATAAACATTATTAATTAAAATAACAATTCTAGTCTGAATGCAATATCCAGGAATAATGTGAGTGGAATATTCAATTACTAAACAAACATTAAAATAAATTTTAATAAACAAACTTGTAAAAAATGACTGACTTCTCATTAAATTGTAGCCTCTAGTTTTCATCGGTTTTTCTCACTGCTGCTCCCTGTTAGCAAGTCAAGTCCACCCGAACTTATTTTAATGTATAATAACATTGTCATGGAAATTATTTCTTTCAAAAAATTCCCTCTATGATAAGCTTTAGGGAATCGTAGCAAACCAATGCCCAATGATAACAGACAACATCCAGAAAGAGCCGCTTAAGATAACTATTAGATACTTTATACTTCAGTCGACATTCTTCAGAGGCAAGTTGCACTGTAGCTTTTCAAATGTTGGTCTCTATTATTTCGAAAAGCCCATTGAGCCACCAAAGAATGACATTAAAAGTATTTACCAAACACACACTTTGGCCCACTTGTGCTGCAAATGAGCCTAACGAGCTGAAATAAAATGCGACCATGTCTGCATGGCCAATTTGTGCAGCTTTAAACGCATTACACGAATCATAGGCACGCACACGCACACACACACACACACACACACACACACACACACACACACAAGGGAGGGCATGCAAATTAAATGCAGCTGTTTGGCTGGGACATGCCACAAAAAGCCAAACATTTAGGCGCAAACGGTCCGCTTGGCAGCCCGTATAAGCACTTTGTGGCTGCTGACAATGCACGTACCGGCCAATTGTTAACTGGGCTAGACACGGCTCTAGGTCGGTTGAATAAATTGGCGGAAATCTGTTGATACATTGCGTTGGGACAGTGCGGTACTCACCTTTAATGAAATCCACAGCCATTTCCAGGCCATATGTGTCCTTATCACAATCGTCGAGCAAATGAGCGCCCAACGTAATGTTTGGCAATAGCTGTTGCTTGTTCACCTGATCGAGAGTGTAGAGCATGGCTTCGAGGGCTTGTATGCCGCCTTGGGGCATGATGGGGCCGCAGGTGATGCTGTCCTCTCGCGAATGTACCATCATCAGGCCGCCCAGAATGACATCACCTTCAAGCACGGCCGCATGCTTTACGGGCCAGCCAGAGCCGGCTGCAGTCGTGCCACCAATGGAGCTAATAGTTGCCAGGGGATTGCCCAGCGCATTGGCAACATATTGTGCCATGTTCGTGGCGCCCAACAAACGCGGGGTGGGCAATGCTTTAATTGTGGCCGCAGTTGCTGTACCTGTTGTTGTCTTAAGGTAATTGCTGCTGTTGCTCTTGTTGTTGTTGGCATCAGTTTTCAATTCGTTTGCTTTCGTCATGGGCCATTGCGTATACGCCACGTGTGGCAAACGTGTGGTCTGGCTTGTTGCTATTGCTGCTGCTGTTGTCGTCTCGAGCTGCGTATCATTTGCATAACTTTGTGCGTTCGCCAACAGTTCCATATCGTTAACTTCCGCCATTTTGTTAGTAACATGCGTGGGCAATGTTGTCGCAATGCGCTTTGTTTTTATTGGCATAGTTTCCATTGCTGTTGTCTTAGCTAGTGTTGCTGCTGTTGTTGTTGCTGCTGCTACAGACGCTGCAGTTGTTATAGCTGTTGTAGTTATAAGCGGATCTGTTGAAGATGCCTCTATAGCGTGTGTTGTAGTTGCTGGTTCAGTAAATTTATTTGCTGCTGCCTCCTCCACCTGCTGCTCGTCATTTTTTATGGTTATTGTGGTTGTCGTTGAATTTAAATTGCCGCTTAATGCAGCAGCACCCTCTGTTGCGATCAAAGTCGCTTTTGCTGCAGGACTCTCAGCTGACGGCAGAGTCGTCAGGTTTTGTTGCTGCTCCCAGCTCTGGCCGAGCCAGCTCAGCAACAACAGCAGCAACTGCCATAGCCAAAAAGCCTTCGCGTGCATTCTGTGGTATTCTGTGGTCTGTCAAGAGCAGCTTTCCTCAATTAGTGTTGCAACAAATTTGGTCGCATTTGTTTTTGGCCTGCGCACGCATATAACTCTCAATTAATTTCGCCAACTGACAAGTATTTTCGCCACGCTGGTAAACGCGCTTTAATTAAGTTCCACGACAGTCCAAATTGATGTGGCTGCTAATTTTTGCCAGCCGCTCCTGCTGCTCTTGCTCTGGTTGCTATTCTTGTTACTGCTGCGTCTGCTGCTGCTGCTGTTGCTGCTGGTACTGCTGGTGGGATTGGTGCTGGTGCTGCGCACATTTTTATGCGTCTCAACATTGTTGCCGTTGCATGTTGCTGGTTGGTTGTAACAGACAACAGTCGGTTGGTGGCCGCTCCTCGCCTGGACCTGAAAATAAAACGGAACAATTATTCGTTGAAGTACAGGAAAGGAACACCAAGAAGTGAATTATAAATGTTTGCTGTTCAGTAAATTTAATGAGCAGTAAAAATGTGCATTAAAATGAGCGGCCATTTATTCCACTTTTTTAGCAGCTTCCGCCTGCCTGCCAGCTTCCAGCTGCCTGCTGCCCATTCGCCAGTGCCTAAGTTTGTGGCCAACTTTTCGTCCAGCTCGCTCACAGATGTAATGTGGCTTTTAAAGAAATACAAGTACACATGTAAACAAAAATGAAGTTGTTCGTTGTGTCTGTTTCCGTGCGCTAGACCACGGCTTTACACTTTCGAGCCACAAGATTTAGGACAAGGGCATTGCTGGCGTTTACGTGGCTTTCTAAAATGCGAGCATAAACTATTGCTACAACTGAATGGATACTTTGTTCTGTGATCTGGGACACGGATGTTAAAGTCTAAGTTTATAAATGAACACATAGGTGTGAAGGAACTGCTCATGTCGCATGTAGGTATCCAAATAATGGAATACTTTGGCTTCAGATTTGATAATTGATAGAAATTTTCTATTGAAAATTAAACTTTGAACACAGATTAATGTTAACATATTTCCATATGTTTTAGATTAAATGGCAGTCATTTATTTTTCCAAATAAGCTTAACAAATGTCTGAAATAACCGCGACCACTGACTAGGACTGTCTCCATGATCAGCTATTTTGATGATTGATTATGGTTACTTTTGCTCCATTTGCAAATGCCGCTGAGTTGGCATTACCTGCCTTTATTCTAAAGTTAATGCAGTTCCCGCAAAGAGCTTATCTGGTTTAAAATGAATTTGACAAATATTATCGCAGGCTCCTACATCAATAGATTTACGAGTGGTTTTTTCAATTTACTATAACAGCATATAGTACGCTCGATGGTTGCCCAAGCACAGCTTCATTGTAAATGGCAAATGGCATTATGTTTGAAATATTTTATGCGCATTCTATTACGTTTTGCAACAAAAATGTTCGTGCGGCTTCCGCATGGTGCATTGCATATTCATTATAGATAATCAACCTAATAAGTGGTCGACGCATCTCCGAACTGAAGCGATCCAAGCCGACCCTGAGTGGGGTCCATGCGTGTGGTCACGTGCCACACATTACACAGTGTATGCCGCTGGACGAACCTTTTTGCCACATGACATCGCATGGGGCGGAGGGACGGAGGGCCGTGGCACATGAATAATATTTCAATAATTGAGCGACGGAAAATTAGCTTAACGTGTTCCAGAAGGACAGCGCGGTCGGAGAAAGGCTAATATATGGGACTAAATAAAATGTGTGTTGGATTAGTTTAAGCTCTGCCTATACCCTGCACTCATAAAAAGGGAAATAAAAGTGTATTAAGTTCGTGGGAAAGCCTGCCTTGCTGACGATCCTAGCTGTCTGCACTTTTGTGACTAAGTTTAATCAACTCCTTCATATAGTCAAGTCCCACTTATTTTCAATAAATAATCTTTGTTTGGTTTGCGAACATAATTATAACTTAAATAGGAAATGTTATGTTGATTATTGTTATTATATAAGAAGTAGAAAAATGAATTCAACATTTTAAAATTTTCACTGTAGACTGAATTATATTTGTAGGATTCGGATTGTTATAAGCACCTACATAAATATTTGATGTTCTTCTGCCAAAAAGAGAGCTGCAATATATTGTACAAATATCTAAGCAGTATAGAATCGTTCAATTTAGTGGTTTCAGCGCATATCCGAAGATTAATATCAAATAAACTCAATCAGGGGTCCTACAAAGAAGTCTAGATATGTATTTGGGCTTTGGTTAGTTTAAATATCTCCCAAAAATTCGTACGTGCTACACAATTTCGAGAGAATTCGTTTTTCGAGCTTCCAAATAATGCTCCCTGTCGACGAAATAATCAAACAGACCCAATCTGGCAGTTCCCGATTTTTATATTTGTTTTTCTTTTCCTCTTTGCGTTGTTATTAGCTGAATAACTTAAAGTAATGTTAAGGAATTCCTTGAATAATTAAACTGCTCAGGCTCAGCTCATGAAAAGCAACAATGAAAAATTTAAAGTTACTTTCCGTCGAGCTATGCAATGCACATAGCAGCTCTGTTATGCACAGCATTTGCAAAACACGGACTTACAAACTCTGTGACACATTTAATCAATATACAGTTTATTGACAAGAATTTTAAACAAGAATTGCGTCCAATATACATTTTATTTTTAGCTTTCGTTCTCACAAAATAAGATAAAGGAATAGAGCAAAATGTGATGATTAAAAAAGTAAAGTTTAATTTGGGCCAAATTGACATTTCTATAGTTCGGTTATTTTGGATGCTGTGTGTGAATACTAGTGTTTCAACGAGAGATTTAGTACTTTTCTAATTTAGTAATACTATACCCATACGGAGTGCAAAGTATTTTTGATGAACATCGTTGAGTAGAACTATATTCCAAAACTATTTTGAATCAAATTTTTAGACAAAACCTGAGGGGCTTGAAACCCACTGAAAGAGATTTCTGTGGCACCGAGTATTATTGTTCTGTTAAAATTGTTGTTGAAAGGGATTTCTGTGGCATCCCCGAAAAGGAAAGTGTAGAGAGTATAGAGGATTCTATGCCACATAGTAGAACTGGCCCTTTTACTTTGGTTTTATGAACCGTCCCTTGCTTTGCAGCCACATTAATTTTGCATTTGCCTTCTATATACATACTATATATATGAACTTTCTTGGCCATATGTGGGTACTCGTATATTTGTTTATGTACGTGTAAATGTACAATGCACATTCTTACGAATATGAATGTGTTGCTGACTCTGTCGGCTTGTTTATGACTTTGGGGAAGTTCGTTGGATGTGCGCAGCCCTTTCGAGCTCAGTAGCCTTGAGTTTCGTGTGCATAATTTGGGCATTAAACAGGATTTCCTGTTGGTCTTTTTACCTTTTCGTTGTGGCGCCATAAAGCAGGCAATATAATCATTTCGCTGTTTCGGGAAATGAGATCAATGTGCCATAGACCAGGAGTTTTCATTTGGATTCTTTGCAATGTTTCTTGATATTTATTTACGCCCCTATAGCGGCAATCCTTTGTAGTTAACGCACACATGCCAGATGCGTTGAATCTGTATTCATCGATAAATATTTCATGTGCGTTGCGCTCCAGCGATTATCAAGCTTACAAGCTCCACTGACCAACAATAGTTGGCTGCCTGCTAATCTATTGGCCAGACCCTGTACAGGCAGCTGGCGGGCTTCACGCTTGAATGACCTTCGAAGTATATAGACACATGTGCGTGGGTGTGTGTGCATGGAATCTGAGCTGCGGCATAATGTCGGATTGTCAATTGTTTGACTTGCAGCAGGATTGATAGATTTAATTAAATTTGCATGCCTGGCACGGCGACGGCTGCGCCGTCCCGACCTGCTTTATTAACACCAGAATTTATAGCCCGCCAATTTATGTTTACACCTCTGCTCTGAGCACATTCGGGTTGACAGCTATTTTCGGTCACACCGCCCTTGTATAGACGACCTTCGCATTTCCGTTTTTGGGCCTAACAGAAAAAAAAAGAAAATAGGCATGAATGCCCAGAGGCTCGCCATTCACTGCTGCCGGTCGTTCGTTCGTGGCCGGAATGGTGTGCGAAAATAAACAAGGCGTGGGCATTGGAAAAAATAGAAACGCAGGAGAAGAGAAAGTAATGCCGCATTGGTATTTGAGATAAGTGAAATTCAGGAGGGTGTCGTTAGGAGCGCTAAAGATTATGTGCGCTGTTAATTTCATAAAATTATGCGCAGCTATACTATTAAGTGGGCGCAGTACAGGCTCAAGTCGCAACCAATGGTAAAAT